CATATATCTACCTAATCTCCTTCCTTCATTCTAAAGGAAATACATCCCCTTTTCCAATTCAGAACTAACCTCTCTGCCAACACTCGTTTTAGACTCCTACCATCATTGAAGGAAGCCTTTGTCTGTAATTACTTGCACTTTCTCTCCTCTCTCTCTTTCTCTCCCCCTTCTTCTCCCTCTCCCTCCTTCCTTCTTCTGTATTTTCAGCTTTTCTTCTAATTACTTTTCCACAGACTACACGCATACTCAAGTTTCTCCTGTTAAGTAATGTATTTAAAGCCCTTGAGCCTGGGTTCTCCTCTAACCTGTCTTCTCTTCAGTCAGGCTTCTTGGATAAAGTCGCTATCTTCACTTCTCACCTCTTCAATCCATGTACCCTGGCATCTTGCTCCACTATAATACACTGAAACTCTTCTTGCAAAATCACATTGCAGGAATGTGCACAGTGGTCTCTTTCAGTCCTCACTTATTTACCTCACTACTGCATTTAACACTTAACCATTCTGTTCTTCTTCAAACTCACTTGTCCCCTGGCCTCTCCCTCTGGTTCTCCTTCTACCTTTCTGACAGTTTCCTTCTCAATTGCCTTTGCTAGCTACTGTTCTTGCTTATCCTGTAGATGTTAAAGAATCCTCCCAAACTCTGTCTTTTGGTTCTCTTCTCATCCTACATGATCCCCCTAGGTAGAACTCATCTATTCCCACGGCTTCAGCTGCCATCTCCATTGGGATGTTCCACAGGTATCTCAAGAACAACATGTTTTTGTCTTAAGTCAGTCAGTCTTGCTTTCTTTGTTCTCAGACTTAAACCACTATACCTAGTCACCAAAACCAGAATACTTAAAGTTATCACAGATTCTTCCTTTATCCTCATCCTTCACATTTAATCATTGACCAACTACTGAATGAAGAGTCTACATTTTTTGTGTCTTCTATATCCAGTCCTTCCCCTCCACTTCTGGTATTTCTTTAGTTCCAACTTTTATCACATCTTCCCAAAAGTGTTACAGTAGACTTTTGTTCTCCAGGTTTTCCCACCAGCAACCCCCAATTCATTCTCACATAGCTGCCAAAATTATCCTTCAGAAAAGCAAGTTTGATCATGGTAACCTGTTAAAACCCTTCAGTGATCCCCCCATGGCCTATAAGATTCAAGATTCTCCCTCTCTTCCTCTCACTAGATCTGCAGCCATAAAGGAGAAGTTAGGATAGCTCCAAAGTTTTGTCCTAAGCAAGTGAAAAGATAGGTTGGCCATCCACTAAGATGGGGAGAGCTATATGTGGAACAAGCCTGGGGGAGAGGATTAGGGATTTGGACATGCCGAATTCAGAAATAAACTAAACAGCCAAGTAGAAATGTCGATTAGACAGATGCTTAAGTCTAGCGTTTAGGAGAGCAGTCTGGGCTGGAGATAGAGATTTGGGAGTCATCAGCAGATAAATGTATTTAAAAACCACAAAACTGGGTGAGATCATCTAGGCAAGTGCAGTTCAATAGAACTTTCTACAATGATGGAAATGTACTATTCCATGCTATTTAATAAGGTAACTAGTAGCTACATGTGATGTTGAGCACTTGAAATATGGCTAGTTCCACTGAGGAACTGAATTTTTTATTTTATTTTAATTAATTTAAATTTAAATTTAAATAGCCATATGTGGCTAGTAGCTACTACATTACACAGATATAGGGAGTAAGTGTAGATCAAGAAGAAAGGAGGACCGGTGAATGGGTTCTGGACACTCTACCATTAAGAGGTTCAGTGAGGGACTTCCCTGGTGGTCCAGTGGTAAAGAATCTGCCTTCCAATGCAGTGGACGTGGGTTTGATCCCTGGTCAGGGAACTAAGATCCCACATGCCGCGGGGCAACTAAGCCCATGTGCCACAACTACTGAGCTCGCGCGCCGCAAACTACAGATCCCACGCTCTGGAGCCCTCGCACCACAACTAGGGAGAGAAAACCCACATGCCACAACTAGAGAGAATCCTGTGCACTGCAACTAGAGAGAAGCCTGCACACCACAACATAGGGCCAGCGTGCCACAACGAAAGATCCTATGTGCCGCAACAAAGACCCCACGCATCCAAAAAAAAAAAAAAGAAAGAAAAGAAAAGAAATAAAGAGATCAGGGAGATGAGATGAGACCATCAAGAGACACTGAAAAATGTCAACTAATGAAGTAAGAAGAAAATCAGAAGAATGTGATGTCCTGGAAACCAAGTAAAGAAGGTATTGAGGAGGAGCAAGTGATCAACTTAGTTTAAAAGGACCAAAAGCCTTGGTAATACACAGTACTGACAGGATGTGGAAAAATAGGCACTTTCCTGAATTTCTGGTAGAATGACATCTGTAGAACACCTTGGAGATACCTACCAAAATTTAAAATGCACAGTATGTCCACACGACTATATATAAAATGCAGTTTATAGACTGTATGTAAAATATATATTAAATATATACATACATATGCATGTATCTTATAATATGAATATGTAAATTTGTAAATATATGTATATACACATAGATAGTATCTCTGAAAGGATATTCATAAGAGATGAGTAATAGTGTTTGCCTCTAGAGAGAAACTGGGGTGCAAGAGGACTGAGGTGAGAAGGAAACTTACTTTTTTTTACAATATGCCCTTTTTTTATATTATACCATGTGCAAACATTTATCTAGTCAAAAACAGATATTTTACTTTATAATTTTTTTTTCTTTTTGGCCATACCACGTGGCTTTCAAGATCTTAGTTCCGTGACCAGGGATGGAACCAGGGCCCCCTACAGTGGAGGCACAGAGTCCCACCCACCAGACTGCCAGGGAATTCCCCAAAACAGTATATTTTAAAGTAACAAAAAATGATTGTAGAATATATAACACTGTGGAACACTTAAAGCATCATGATGCTAAATACATTGTTTCAGGTGGGTAGATTCAAATGAAGCTTACCTTGTCTTAAAATGTAGCATTTCAAAGGCATGATTTTAAGTCCCAAGTTCACATAGAAATGTCATAATTGACTCTGCTAAATCAATTGCAAAATGACCACCCCTTCATTATTGGGAGCCTTTGTTGGGTATCTCTGCAATTCAGAGATTATCTGAACATTCTTACATTTATTTTTTAAAGTTTTTTTTTTATTGAAGTATAGTTGATTTTCAATGTTGTGTTAATTTCTGCTGTACAGCAAAGTGATTCAGTTATACAAATATATACATTCTTTTCCATTATGGTTTATCACAGGATACTGAACATAGTTCCTTGTGCACCTGGTTGTTTATCCATTCTATATATAATAGTTTGCATCTACTAATCCCAACTTCCCGGTCCATCCCTCCCCCATTCCCCCCTCCCCCACTTGGCAACCACAAGTCTGTTCTCTATGTCTGTGAGTCTGTTTCTATTTCATAGATAAGTTCATTTGTGTCATATTTTAGATTCCACATATAAGTGATATCATATGGTATTTGTCTTTCTCTTTCTGACTTACTTCACTTAGTAAGTGATAATCTCTAGGTCCATCCATGTTGTTGCAAATGGCATTAGTTCATTCATTTTTATGGCTGAATAGTATTCCATTGTGTATATGTACCACATCTTCTTTATCCATTCATCTGTCAGTGGACATTTAGGTTGTTTCCATGTCTTGGCTATTGTGAATAATGCTGCTATGAACATAGGGGTGCATGTATCTTTTTGAATTATAGTTTTGTCTGGATATATGCCCAGGAGTGGGGTTGCTGTATCATATGGCAACTCTATTTTTAGTTTTTTGAGGAACCTCCATACTGTTTTCCATAGTGGCTGCACCAGAACATTTTAAAATAGCCACAACATCTGATTCTGTTTTCATGAAGTCCCACAAGAACAAGTACTCTCTCAGTTAGTGATTCCTTCAAGGTGTTTTAGAAAGAGAGAGAGACAAACAGAAAGGAAATGTAGGGTTGGTTGTTGTTTTTTCCATGATTTATACATAAGCATGTACATCCTTTGACTAAAGATATTTCTATTTAGTTTTGTTCTATAACTTCCAAAATGGTTGCTTCTGCTTGATGTCATTTTAAATAATGGCCGGTAAGTGATTTAACAAAATTATTTGCCTACTAAGATTAAGTAATTTTATCTTCTCTTGGTGGCATGAGAAAAGAAAAACAAGGCAGACTTTAACAGTTTTGAAAATAATGTGATCTCCTTCTTGTTCATATCTTCAGAAGGATCTAATAGGAGGACCACTCACTTTTGTTATAAAGCTATTTTGATAAAGATTGAAGCACCGTAAAACTACACAGTGCAACCTAAATGAGGCTAGTGACTGAGCTGATGCGTCAGCATGTCCAGTATCAAAACTACACCCACCGGTTTTTTTTTGTTTCCATGGTTTCTTTTTCTTGGTTTATCAGAGGATTGAGGAGCAAAGATTTTAAGAAGAGGTGGATTTCTAGAAGCGCCATTAATTTATGTATCCCATTCTTTTTTTGCACTAAATGTTTCTTGTCCCCGCATTATGCGGACATCCAAATATACCACTACTTTCCAAAATACTTTGAGGTCCTTGGACAGAAGCCATTGTAATGACACTGTACTAAGTATTTGACGAAGGGCTTATACGTGAAAGGAGATGTGTAGTACAAGCATAAATTACTGCTATATTGATACCATATCACAGTGAAGTACTCTTCAGCCTCTTGAATATAAAAGAATATTCCTACATTTGGTTCCAGCAAACACTATTGTGCTATTCTGAAATCCACAGCACAGAAATTATGACATCCGCTCATAAACAGAAAGCAAATCACTATTCAGCATTTCCTGCTCTGTTTCCTGCCAATTTCAGATAATTAAAACTTTTTTTAAACCTTTTATTCTATTCTGCTTTAATTTTGATTCCTTTACCAAAAAAGAAAGATTCAGAAATTAAAACTGTGTATATGATAGTAACAGCAAATTTTGCCTTTTTTCCCCCTTATCCTATGATATTAATTTCCTTCATTATTGTAGACCTCAGGATATCATTGTGTTTATAATTGGAGGAGCCACCTATGAAGAGGCTCTAACAGTTTATAACCTGAACCGTACCACTCCTGGAGTGAGGATTGTCCTGGGGGGAACCACTGTGCATAACACGAAAAGGTAAGGGAGGACATTCAGTCCTATAACTCTTTCC